AATTTAATACTTCTAGTACTAAAACCAATGAAAAGCCAACAGAAACAACTAACAATGCTTTTCAATTTTCTCCTGCTAAGACTGTTCCATCATTTGGTAACTCAACAACACAAGGTTTTGGAGATAAACCAGCGTTTCAGTTTAATGCTCAAAAAACAGATGACCAGAAATCTTAGTTTTCATCACCGTCCTTTGGAAATCAAACTGCTGCTGTTGCTCCTTTTAAATTTGGAGGTGGTGAAAAGCCTGCTGTATTTGGAAGTACATTTACTTCACCAAATCAACCAATCGAGTTCAGTAATAAAATTGAAATTATTTTCTTGTTTTTAGGAATGCAAGAATCAAATCAGGCATTATTTAGTATTGGAACAGCACCAGCTGGGGAACGACGAAAAGCGAAAGCAGTCAGAAGAAGACAATGATAACTCNGCCAAAGCTGTCAGAAGAAGACAATGATGACTTAAAATATATTTTTATAATTATTTATAAATGATAAAAGTTAATGTGATTTTCAAAAAACTTATTTTATTAAGATTGGACTATTGTAAAATTAGGCCATCTATTTGAAAATTGATATTAAAATGTTACCTATTATTGTTGGACAAATTATTAGTGGTAGTTGAATAATCATATTTAAAATTATTTGTTCTGTATGAATCTATTTTTAATGTTATTGGTAATGTCTTGATAATTATTTTTAGTTACTAATATTGAAATCTGAATTATATCATAAATCCTATTGAATTATATGTATTTTGAGATTATTTAAAAGTAAATTTTCAATGATATAAAATATGTATATTAAAATATTAAAATAACATCAAGATTATTGGTTTACTGTATTTATTTTTATTAATGTAACTTAACCTATTCTTAGATGTACTTTGTACATGATTTTTATGAATCATTAAAAGAATAATTAAAAGTAAGTGTGACACACTTTTTAAACAAGCCTTTAATATTTCTAAAGAAATTTTAAATAACCAAATCCTGGAATTTAATTTTATATATAATAGTATTATGAAAAATAATCTTTACCGGCTATCATGATGAAGGGATAAATTATATATACCTCGTAATTCTAGTGATACTATCCACATCTAGTTTTATTAGATCTATAGAAAAGTTGTATGATTATTTAAAGAATTCAACATTTTGAAAACAATAGTGAGGCTTTTTTAACCTGTTTGTGTGTAATAGAACACAAAAATAGGTAAAAAAAAATTAATAAATTACAAAGTAAAATTATTTAATATACTTATATTTATATTTTTAAATAAAAGTAATATTGACTAATACAATGAAATATCTGTTTCATAATACTTAAAAAAATTCAATCATAAATTTTCTACTTATTTTTAGAAACTTTTAACATTTTTGACAAATATTTGGTATAATTATTTAATGTTTGTTATAATATATTTAAAAATGAAGATAAACTGTTCCTTTAAAATTTAAGATTTTATGTCAACTCACAATAATCAATTTTTGAAATTCAAGTATACTCAACACAATTTTTGTAGATAATATCATGTACATACGTATTTTATTTTATTTTGCTTTTGAATAATTTTCCGTATACTTGTAAATGTATACTTTTCATTTTGTAAATAAAAAGAAATGATTGTTAATAATTTGGTTTCAATTAATAAAATATTTCGTTTTTTAAATCTATATCATATTTAAGCTTTTAATTTGAACTATAATAAAAAAAAAAAATTCTCTCATCGAAATTTTTACAATGTGAAATTGACCATCAAAGTAAAAACCTCTCTTTTGCCTCTCGACACGGCAATATACAAAAATTTAATTATGAGTTGTACTTGTACTTGTATAATGAAGTTGTACTCAAAACATAGTAGATATCATAATTTTTAACAAAAATGATTAATTTTACGATTTTGCGACCCCTGGGATAGGCACCGCTACCCTCCCTTGATACGTCCCTGATGATCCTTTATAAGTTACCTACTAGAAAACTAGAATTTTTTTTAAAAACCAGATAGTTTTGTTTTTTTTGTTATTCCAGTCCTTTTTAAAAAATTTTATAAACTGGTATATATTGGTTTTAAATTCCTTAGATTATTAGGTTTACTAAACTCAAAAATGCTTAAATGGAAATTTTTTCTAGCCCAACATCTTGAGATAAAGTGAGGATGTAAGTATTTAAATAAGGTTACTAAACTTTTTTCAAATTAAATCCATTAGATAGTGTTATATTTTTATTATTATAAAAAAACATTGTGGCGCACTATATACCAATTATGGAGTTAGAATATGGAAACTATAATTAAATTAGTACCAGTCACATAGCAGTAATAAATGTAATTTATTATAATATTAATTTTTGCTTTAAATTAATCATGTAGTATTATATATTTTAATTTTTTAATAAAATTCTGAAAGTTGTACTATTGTGCAGGTAGATTTCCTGTTGTTGAATGAGAAAAACGAATGTATGTTTTTAAACGGGACATAAAATGATTAAATCTCTCCGGATTAAGCTTTTTCCTCAAATTTTCATCTAAAAAAAGAATAAGATTTTTAAATGAAATTTTTTAAGTAGAGTGTATTATGGATTGCTCAAGAAATAGGAGTGCACAGTAAAAAAATTGAATACTGAATAACTACCAAATATTTATCTTATAACAAACCGAAGACTAAAATTAAAAATGGAAATTCACATAACCTCCTAAACTATCATAATTTGGCTTTTGTCAAATGTTGTAAAAAAAAATTAAAATTGTATGGTTTTTTTGATAATATTTTAATTAATTGTTTAAGTGTATTCTGATCATAAGAATAGTAAATTAAGTTGCTACGTGATACTTAATATTTATACACAAATGTTTACAATCAAATATAAATTAGTTTGTTGTTTGATTTTGTTTAAGAAAAACTATTTTTTTGTGCTTGTATTGAATTACTGATAATCATTAAAAATTTTGTAAAAAATAATTTGATACATTTATTTAATTGTAAATAACATTATTAAAATGAAGGTGAAGAGGTTTTTTCGTCGATTAGCAACATTATTTAAATGCTGTGTTTCGGAGAACAAGAAGTCTAATACAAGTGGTAATGTATCTTAGTTCATTCTAGCTCAGATATTTTTTTAACGAATAATACCAAATTATATACAAAAAAGCATATTGGAAAATGCAATAAGATAAAAATATACTTTAACATAATACATATTTTCTATACTAAAATTTGATATAGCATAAGGGATGAATAATACATTAAGCTGGAAAAATTAGAACAATTTTCTGTGAAATATTATATTTACAATTGTAAATATCGGTTGACTATTGTCTAAGACGATTTTAAGACTATAAACTTAACGATGAATTATAGGAGATAAGTGCTGTTAATGTTTTTGTAGATGATTACATTAATAGAAACGATGTATCTAACATTAGTTTGTGTAATACATTGATTTCATATATTCATCTATATTTTACATAAATCAATTTTATAAATCACAATTTGTGATGTCAGGTTATCATAAAATTACATTCTATTAGTATGCGAGTTGTATTGTAGTCAAAATATTTAGATTTTATAACTTTAAAATTCAGTGATAAATTTTAGAGGCTCATGGAAGTTTATTCATTTTCAATTCAATCATATACATCACGTTATTAAAGTTAATAATTGAAATAGAATAAAATCAATATCTTTCTATACAAAATAAATGCTACTAAATAGAATGATATAAATGACAAAACAAATGTGGTTTAACAAATGTTAAGACATCAAGATAGTTAAAACTATTATTTCACTCATTGTCTGTCATAGTAATGTGAACTCAATATGAACTTAAAAGTTCATACTCAGAAAATTCTTCTGTACTGTTAGCTCTGACAAATTATGTCGCTTATTTGATTATTTTGAAGCATGAACAAATAAGCATCCCTCAAATAGTGTGATATTGACGATTTTGGACAGTAACTTAAAAATGGACTTATAGGATACTTATTTTATATAGTTATTATAGGAATGTTACTAAAAGAAAAAATATTACAACGTAGAAAATAAAAAATATTTCGTTTCTGCAGTAAAACTTTGAAAAATATAATATTTCTACCTTAATTTTCCAATTACTTAATGTATTTGTTATGATTTTTTATATACAAAAATTATACAAGTTTAAGTGATTAAAAATTCATTAAAATATCATAATTCAATTTTTTAAGTATAAATTTTTATATTAATAACACTGTTCTACGTAATATTTTAATTTGAAATCATTATAACCAAGTCTCCATTAAATTTTTGACCTTATGTCAAATTTAGCCTTAGATTTCATTATTTAAGTCTAGTTGCTTAGTAAATATAATAATATATCCCTGTAGTGTCACTATTGTAACAATTAACTTTTAAAAAATTCACTTTTAATGGAATATTAGTAAGATATTATGTTCATATTATCAAAAATATATAATTTTGTAATAATTGTGTAGACTATAATAATAATAAAATTCGAAATATTAATTAGAAATTATGTCAGGTGATGTACAACTTGATGTTAAAAACATAGAATGTAGCACAACACAAATGAATGATATCGATGTAGAAAATGGAGTGTCAGTAGGTAGTGTGTCAGTTGTAAAACAAGAAAATGTTGATGATATGATTGTTGTGGAAAATATTAATTTATCTGAAGATACAAATGACCTTTGCATTTCTAATACTTTAACTGTGGAGGATCCCTCAAATAATAGTGCCCCAGAGCTCATAGTAGATTGTATGGAAGATTTGTTGGCAGTTAAGCAAGAGAATGGTGAAGATATGATTACTGAGGAAAATATGAATTTACCTGAAGATACAAATGATCTTTGTTTTTCCCATATTTTAACTAAGGAGGATCACTCTAATAATAGTACCCCCAAGTTTAAAGTAGATTGTAGAGAAGATTTGTTTACAGTTAAACAAGAAAATGATGAAGATATGTTTGCTGTGGAAAATAAGGATTTACACGATGATGTGAATGAAGAGGATCACACAAATAATAGTGCCCCAGAGCTCATAGTAGATTGTATGGAAGATTTGTTGGCAGTTAAGCAAGAAAATGGTGAAGATATGATTACTGAGGAAAATATGAATTTACCTGAAGATACAAATGACCTTTGCATTTCCTATATTTTTTCTGAAGAGGATCACCCAAATAATAATTCGCCAGAACTGGAAGTAACAGCTATTGAAGAAGCAGAGTCTATGGAAACGCGTAAACACGAAGAAGGTGTTATACGCTATTTTGGAATGAATAATGAAGCCGGTAGAATAATTTCAAAAAATGGAAAATGTTATAAATTTTATAAGGTAGGCATATTATTTTATTGTCATTTACAAGACAGAACCTGCATTTTAAAAAAACTAGTCAAGTTTTTAATACATAAATTAATTAAATTAAGTATTCGTATACCAAAATAAAAAATTTTAATTTTTTTTTGTAGTAATTAGGCATTAAACATAAAAAAATTCTCTTTAAACTATATAAAAATAGTGCATTTTTGTTTTCCTCAAAAATAATTGAAAAAATTATGTTTCGCGGTTTAGACATGAAGTTGATAATATATATTTTTTATTTCAAAAAAATACAAAAATCCTTTAAAATTGTCTTTTTATTTAGAAAGATATTGTTGGTTCTTATAAATATTATAAATCTCCACAAAAAGCAAAGTTTGTGGTCAATGATTCACAGCCGAATTGGGCCATAGATGTTGAAATAGTTGGAGATATTTATGGCCAACGGTAATTATTAAATGATTTAACAGTATAAATAATAGATTAAATGTTGTTATTTTTTTGTATCTATAGATGCTATTATTGCTTAACGCATGGTCATTATACAGAGGAATGTATGCAATTGGATATTGACTCATTAAATTTTTACTATCCTTACATTTAAAGTACTAGTACAATCTGTTTGATTAATCTATTTATTCAATTATTATTCAAATTTAATATTGCACATATTTTAGTGTGTTAAATAGTAAAAAATAATTTTATGAAGTAAAAAATACTATTATATATTATAATATATCTAAGTACTTAAATTTATTGTTAAAAATGAAGATTTAAAAATATTGTGAATAATTTTTTAAGTAATTGTTAATCAATAAACAATATATTGTCATAAATTAAAAATTCTTTTAATTAGTTTGTTTAATATAATAAATGTAGTAGACGTTTAAAAATATAATTACAGAAAAAAAATATTTCCGATAAAAATGGAATATGAATTTCTTTATATTAAATTTGTATTTCAATGTTTTGGCAATAGATTTTTCAATTAATTAAAAAAAAATTCAGCACAATGGGGTCGCGCCATAGTGATGACGTATTAAAATCACTATCATAAAAAACGCTTCAATGCAAATCTGTAGATAGTGTTTAATCATAAGAAATTTGAGGATAATTACAAAAGCAACATCTACTATTATTTCCTTATTTATTTTAGATTAGTAATTCTTTGATTCAAAAATATAATATTTAATTTTTTATTTATATATTACATAATATTTATAATTAATTGTTTTCAAATTATCATTGATTTTGAATTTACATTTTAACAAATGAATTTATAGTACGGTTTATGAGCTTTAATTTGACATAAGTATAAAGGACGCAGTATTTTAGGAACATTTTCAAAAGTAAAGTTGTTATTTTGAACCCTCTGTTGTGGTCGGGTAGAGGATTAGATTTTCAAAAGAAATGTCGTTACACATATGTTTTTTAAGACTGTAAACTTCGTGTTTATTATACGAAAGACCGCCCCATGTAAGAGACGTCACTATGACCTGTGCCTTATATTTTTTTAACGTTTCTGGAATTTCGGAAAAATCTTTTTGTATAATTGTAATTTTGTCCCTGACTTCATAAATCTTTGTGTTTCTTTCGGCGGATTCTAATTTTTTAGCATTGATATCAACAGCGATTACTCGTGTATATCTCTTGGCCAATTGGATAACGTTTTTATCAGGACCATAAAACAGATCCATAGCGACGTTTAGACTGGGGCATCTCAACGCTTTATGTGCGTTTAAGATCTCGAGACAAACGGAATAAAATGATTCTGAAAAAAAAAACGTTATCGTTATTAGTATATTAGTTATTTGTTAATACTAAAGTTTGCTTAAATAATTATTTTATATTATAATTATAATATATAATATTCAATAAATAATTAAATTAATATTAATATACGTGTAAACTTAAAACTTGAAACATTTGTGAGCACATGGTCTTAAGTAAAAAAAAAAACTACATTTATATAAATAAATAATAATCCTTAGCCAGACTAACTGTTTGTTTAATATGATTATTTATAACTTTATAGTTGCTGTTGAAAATTTAAATGATAAAAATTAAAACTAAAATTATAAATATATAGAAATTTATAACTCGGCTGAATAATATGCATAAGTATCCTTAATGTGAGATTTTTTCCTATATTAATTATTATTTTAAAAAAATACTTATTTCGCACAATATGTTGATTGAATTGAAAAGACTAAAGTCAATAATTATTAAAAATAAAAATAAAAGTTATAACATTTAATTTTCAATACTTTTATTTATTAAAAAAATAATAGATATATAAAAATTAAGATATATTTCAATACGGATTTATTTTCTCGGCATGAAGAAATATTTTATTTTACTGGTGTGTACGTTTCTAAGATAAAAAACCGAAGACGCCCCTGAACATGACCTAAAATAACGAGCTAATTTTTACTTATTCAAATATTACAACAGTTACCTAATATCTGTAAGTTAATTTGGCGTTTATAATAAAAGTATAAATGAAAGCGTTTTAGTGACCTTACATTTCTTTGAAACACATTCATAATCTTTTAGTGATTTCAACAGCTGCTAAAAACAGTGTAAGATTAAACGTCCGGAAATGGTCCAGTGAACATTTTTAACACATGTATTTGTGGCGACCTTTTAGAGTCGTATTGAATTTCAATAGCGAGACGAGCACGTTCCCTTTCGATATGGCGAGAACAAGTCCATCCATCATGTCACAGAACCTAAAATCCCAATACTTCAATGATTTTCTAAATAAATAAGGAAACCGTTAATAACTATTGTGTGTAGACAAATTGTGATGTCCATGTATAATAGAAACAAACTAATATTCACTATACATTTAATATACTTCACACTTTATTATTATTATAGTACAACATGGCTTTCAACGTACAAATATTAATCTGAGGTTTTTTTATGTTTAAAAACTCCATACTTATTATTTTGTCATTTATTTTAAATAGTTTTGAAACAAATATTTTTCAACTAATAATATAATATTTCAATAATGCATTTCATTGTATTACGTTAGTTTTTTACAGTTCCAAAAAATATGTATAAAAATCGATATTCATGATTTTGCATAAAGAAGACAGTATAAATATATTTTTTTTATTTGATTAATATATTTTATAATTTTAAATAAAATATTTAGTTTACTCGGAAATCTACACATTTTTATTATTGTTGGTATGAAATTTTAATCCATTTATATCCTAAATCTCTACAAATATATCCATATAAAACAACCCTCCTTCATATCCTAAATTGGCTATTTAGACATTTGTTTCAATTGATGGCCATTAGAAATAATCTATATCGTGAAGATGACGTATTACCCCCAAAAAGCTCAAATATTGCAATGCCACAACACAACCCTTAGGCGTCTTCTTCTCAATTACTTTCTATAGTAATTTCTTAAATAAGTGCTTTCATAATGTATTTTAAGGGGATACTAAAACTCAATAAAGAGAAGAAAAATTGCACGTGAATATGATTTTAGTAATAAGAAATACAATAAAATAAATCAAAGAAATAAATTACACTCATTATGAACTAAGAAATACAGTTATACAACCATTTTAATCACTTAGAATTCTATAGATTATTAGATGTCTAATATTTTTTTGTAATTTCGTCTTCCTTGTATTTTTTTATTTCCAATTCCTAAGACATATATAGAAAATAATATAATGCACACAATTAAACAGTTTTATAAGCAAAATAAATAAATAATATGACTATAGAATTTTAACAGTTGCTTGCTAAAAAATAATTAGTTCCTAAAAATATTTAAAATATTATAAAATTACTAAAAATCAAGTAAAGATTGTTGAAAACTAGAGTATAAATTATTTTATTTGATAAAATTATATTAAATAATTATAAACAGCTTAATTTTCTTGTTTGGTATTTAATTGAAAAGTAACAAAATCTAAGCGATAGTAATTTTTTTCGGTCAAATTAATCAATATTAATTTTACATTTGATTTAAATGGGTGTACATTTATTGTAATTTATTTTAGACGTTTAAATTTAGAATGTTATTAAAAATACTATATACGAAATATGAATTACTAATTTTATTATCATATTTAAGTGGAATTTTTATTATTGTTAATTTATTATTAAATAAATATAGGAATTGCTATTAGAGGCATAGTTAAGATTTTTAATGGAAGGAACGCTATATTATATTGCTATGCACAAAAAATAAGACAGCAACTCAAAAATATCCATTTTGAGATTATGACGTATTTGAATTTAGATTTTACTTTACTTACAATAACTTTTATCAACATATTGACAATTAGAATTGAATCGGAATTAAACTACTGAGAAAATGAATAAACATATAACGTGTAATCAGAGAGTAATTTTTATTTTCGATATCCTGAAAAGTGAGAAAAAGTGAGTTACTGTCTTATTCGTAGCGCATACCGATATGATATTTTATTATACTACAGCGTATGGAAAAACTGTATTCTCGCTTTTTATATTATTGTTCATAAAATTATTATCAACAATCATGGGTATAAAAAAAAAACTTTATAAAGTATTATGCGTTTGAAAATAAAATATAAATAGAAAGTGTTTAATTTAACCTAATTCTTTGAATGAAAAAATAAAAATGAAACAGTTAACAATCAGCTTCACTAAATTCACAGGAAAAAAATGGTTATTTTATTAACTGCGTGATTATGATGAGTAATGTTAAGTTTAGCATATTTGCACATGACCGATTGAGGGGATTGTGTTATTTTTAAGATAGAAAAAATACGAGGAATCACTCCAACGTTCTTTTGAAGTATAGCGTTTTGACGCGATTTCTAATTATATTGCGTCCTTTCATCTCGTCTCCTTTATTTATTTTTTTTTTCTAGAACGAGATTACAGCGCCATAATTTTAATTAGCCATTAATCTGGATCTGGTGATGTTTCGCACAAAAGAAAACGAGAGACAGTCTTGCGTTCATCTCTGTCTTATTTTTATGAAGCACGACCATTATCAATTTAATAAAGTGAAAATATAACATAAAATTATAATACAACACATGCCCACGCGACCCACAGTCAGTGTACCGTATGGCTTTTGTCACAGGCAGAAAAATATGATAGACGCTCTCGTATACTTATTCACAGTGGTGTTAATGCTATGCACATAATGCTTTGCCATATAATAATACTGCATCGACGACATCACAAATTAACGTTAGGCATTTACAGACACGATGACAGACGCGCGTGCCAACACAGACACACCTCCATTGTTTAAGTCGAGGAAAGATTGTCCACATTGGTGATGAAGTGCAGCTTTGTCTATTTTCAGTACACGAAATAATAATTTTATTACTTTTATTCGAGGAAGTAATATTAATAAAGAATCTTTATAATCATAATAAAATAATACAATTCAGAATTTATGAAACAGTCTCAGTAGCGTTTGAAAATAAATATTATTCAGTACTTTTTTTTATTCGAAATTTCCTACACAAATTTTAATAACTACTTGTAATATATATGTATTTTTTTTCTTAAGGATCATTTAAACTGGAGTATTATTATTCTAAAATATATTGAGGCAGAATTATAAAAAGACATTCATTCATTACGTGACACTAGTTAATCTTAGTTTTTGAGTTTCTTAGCAATTTGCTATCTCAATAAACTTACAACGTGTTACCTCATAACTGTGAAATCGAAAATTTATCAAAAGATCTACACAATGATAGAAACAGCAGGAAAACTAGGTTTCCGTTTTTACGATGTATCGATTTGTCGATGGATTCATTTTCGTTTGATTTATATACTTGATTTGAAGAAGAGACATTTTATTGTAGACAAATAAGAGTGAAAATCTGTGTTTTCACCTCGGACATGTGTAAAGGTCAAAAAACCCGGAACACCAGAAGCCCAGCGGGTGAATCAAGGGAAGCAATCAAGGTCGGTGGTCCATTTTCTTCACGTATATATATACACTCTTTATCTATTACTTCTTCCTTTGTTTTTTTTTTTTTTTGTCTGTCACCCGGTAATATGATTTACCACGGGTGCTCACAAGAGAAAACGACTAAGAACCCCAAAATCCACTTTCTATCATACCCTCGGCCGAGTGAGCAAAGACACATTTTTGCACTTTCCCCCCGCGACGGGAGGTGAACCCGCACAGTCGTCTTCATGTTTTATAGTATACCTGCACGCCTTTAACGACAGTGCAACGGAAACTGATGCATCACGCGGAGAAACCGACTTGATCCCGTTATTCGCACACCATCGCACATTTTCCCGGACGAGTAAATCATGACGATGATATTTGTCCGAGTGGAGTAGTCTAATAGAGAGTCCGAGAGAGAAAAAAAGAAATACGAAAAGGGACAAAGGCACTGACACGTTGTCTGTGTTGTTTATGCCTATTGTTCTCGTATGATGTTATGATCACTTACGTGTAAAGAATAAACAATACACTGTTAGTGCATCATATGATGTATAATAATAATTTTATCATTATACATGCACGCGAGTTTCTGTACACACGACGAGTGCGGCGACGGTGCAGAGTATGCGAACACCCGGTGGGATTTAATCACGAGTGCCACAGCCGATGATGTCTCAATAATGTACTTGGTCGGCACTGCTATCGTGCCAAATGGTCGTATGTCTACCACTAGGCGAGAGTCTTATGGCAAGAACATTATGATGATGAATATTGCGCTATAAAAAGTGAATAAACAACGAAAACCACACGGGGTTTGTGACTCGACCTGATGACTTTATAAAAAATATTTATAGACGCATACATATATTTTTTATGTAGATTTAATATGACTATGTTACATTGAAAAATATTTTGCAAGCTTTGTCGTGTCATAACTTAAACTGCATATGCATAATAACATTATCATTACTTAAGATCTCATGTAACCAGTGGAAGGTAGGATAAAAAGTGGCTACCGAATTCTTCAATTTATGACAATTGCCTACACAGTCAACGGTTATCGGTAACTTAGTTTTGCTACCATCACAAATTAACCATCAAATACCAAAAACCAGTTGCATGTTGAAAATAAAATAGAAACGATAAGTTATTAAATGGCGTTTTATCACGAAACATTTATAATACTAATACTTTAACAGCGTTTTTGTTTTATGTAACTTGTTTGTATTTACAGTTCAATAAATCTTGATGAAAAAATATCTCGATGTCTTTATTAATAAGGTAAAACTTTGTATTCTCATTAAACTTTAGTCAACTATACTTTGACATTCATTGATATTACTCTTAAATGTTATATTATAAGCACAAAATTCATATATATGTAATACTGCTAGAGTAGCTTACACAAATGTATCAATCTAAACATATAATAATTAAGTTAATTTACAAAAGTAAATGTTTTCATCAGTAATAATTTTATTTAGGAATGTTGAAGATAGTTACAACAAACACTAATATCAATGAGCAATAGATTGTGGTTAAATATATCAATACAAAAAAAAAAGTAAAGTAGATAATCAAATACTCAAAGAATCATGAAACTATAGAATAATATCAATTGTACCCTAACACATAGCTTCTTGATATTATGGAATAAATGTTACGATATTTAATGATTATAATCAATAATTTTTTTTTTCATTTTTTTAATACTAAATTACAAGATAGTTTCATACGAAAGAGTTATATAATTATTCTCTCTAATTAAAACACGATTAAGAAAATTAGTCAAAAAATGTATAAGTCATGAAAAACTTTTTGTAAAATATGATGCATTGCTTGTACAGATAAGCAAATATTTACTCTTTGCGTTTAATTTATTAACCTACAATCTCTGTTATTATTTCCATTTCCAAATTTTAAGGACTTCAGTGGTACTATAAACTTCTAAAACTTAAATAGACATTCTGACACTAAGCTAGGATAATAACTGAGTTTATAAAGTTTAAATACTCAGCATGTACTTACTTACTATTATCTTGACATTTTGCCCCTTCATTGATACCAAGATATAGACATTAATTCTTTAATATAGTAACGTATACGAATTATTAACGTTTATAACAGAACATATTTGCATTTCACATTTGCATTTTGTGTTAGAGTTTTCATAATTAGTATATATCAGCTTGAAAACTATTTCATGTATAATTAGCTTCGATGTGAATCTGAGAAGGTTTAAATTTTACAATTAAATATTTATTTTAAATTACAATTAATTTCAACGATACGTCAAAAGATCACAAATCGTATTTAGTTGAAGACATTACTCTTATTATAAATTATTCATTTTAATTTTCTAGATTTCAGGAAAAAATAAATACAATTTTTAGTAGTATCCATCATTAAGCAATTCCCCTCTTATAATTTTACATAATATTTATTGCGTATTAAATTTTATGACTGTGACTATCAATAAGTTTCAACATTAGGGTGTACGATTGTTAAGGGGTATAATACCAGCTATTTTAAGTAATTGAATTGATTATTTGTACGTATGTAAATATTTTATAGTAAGTAATTCCATTCAGCTCTTTTTGATTACGTTTGAATAAAAAAAAACTGTGAGTTATAAAATAAAAAAAGTTTAACATACAAGTGAAAATGAAATACATGAATTTTTATACGTTTTATAATATATTTTATTCTACTAAGTATAAATAACTTTTTTATGTTAAACTGTCATATAACTAGTAATACATATTTTAGATTTTAAAAACTAAATCTGACCACAAGTCTTATACATCAGTCAAAAACTTTCATGATAACAATGGAAAAGAACTTTGACTTCTTATAGGAATGATTCAATAACGTTGTTATTAAAAATTAATATAAAAATATAGTTTCTTTTATAATATTCTTTCAGAATAATTCTAAGACACAGAGTATTATATATTGACCAAATATAAAAATATATAATTTTCAAATTACTTATTATTAATTTATCATAAAATTTAAATAAGTAAATTTAATGAAAAATATATAATTGTTGTTTTTAATGTAGTCAATGTTTAATATTTGTTTTCATAAATATATACTTGACTAGTCAGATACATATAACTAGTAATATATCTTTTTAAATACAGCTTAAATAAATATTTAAAGTAACTGTTAACCATTGTACATATATTTTGTTGAACACCGTTTTATATTTTCATGGTCGTTATGTACCCTATTTATTCTATGAATCGTTTATTTTTTCGCCTTTGCACATTATTGGATCTTTCATCATGATCCGCCTATTACATAGCCTATCCACATATATGCACACGCAAGACACGTTAATTATCAATAACGAGCTAATGAAATATATTTCCTCTCGGCCGCTGTTTTTAAATGTGAATCTAAGCTAAGATATTATGTGGGTGTTCACAGTCACGGTTGCGTATACGAGTGTCTGCATTAAAATATTATCTGCCTTCAACACGCGCAATCAACTTTGCGTTATCTTTACATACACAGACAAACCGACTGCATTAAATGAAATTTGTTTAGCTCGATACATATGCTTTTGTAAATATAGTGCTAATTATTTTATTAGAAATTTGCATTATAATAACTATTCGCCATTATCAACGGCTCCATCGACCAAGCTGAATAAGAAGGCTCTACAAGGTATTATGTATTCTATTAGTAACAGTGACTCTAATAAGATCATAGATTATTATAGGCGATATAAATAAAATTTAATTGTCATAAAAACATAAATTTTATATATAAATATTGAATTATAATTAAAAATATTCTAATAGTTATATTAATTATTCACTATATTCTATAAAAATTTAAGATAAGTTTTTATATTCAATTAAAGTAAAAAAATTTTTGTTATAAAAAGGAAATGTATAAAGAATTATGCATTAAAAGTATTTTTTTTTCAATAATGTTATAAAAACATTTATATAACATTAATATAATATTATATGTTTTAACAACATTAAAAAACCGTTATATTAATTTTTTTTTTTTTTGCTATCTATAGAACAAAACTATCAGAGTTTATTAAAAAATGTATTTTAAATATCATTTACGCATTGATTTAGTACAACTTTTTTGTTAATTATATTACGTATTTTTGTACAGCTCGTTTCAAGTGTGAATTTATACATTCTATATATTGATATGTATTATACATAGTAACATTAAACTATTTTATAAAAGTACGGTAAAACGTTTTAAGTTCTAGTAGGTTTTATTAAAATTATGGTGTTATTGGTGTCATTAGAGTTAATTTAAGATAATAACCGGTATTGTGTATGCGTATGAAGACAGCTCGTTGGATGTAAGTAAATCATTGTGAATAAAATCTAAATTTATGAATCATAATTCATATAAAGTTTAAAAAAATGGGCAAGCACAAGTGTTTGTAGCAGTTCGCCAAATAGTATTCAGCCCGTATAAACATTCATAAGAGTATATATATATATATATATATTTTATTTAGTATAACCCTTAAGAATATGTCAAAATATAAGTTCATTTTAAATTTATTTTAATTGAGCTTAATAAGTGTCACATAAACAAAATTTACTTCACAAAAGTTGTAAATAAATTGTATGATATTTGGGTAACTAAATAATAAATTTATAAAAACATTACAAATATAAATGAACATTTTTGAAATGATTAATAGTCAAATATTTTAACTTTTTAACCGAATATTCATATGAGTGATGCAACAGTTTGTTATTAAAAATAAATCAAAAAAAGATAAAAGTAAATGAATAGTAAAATATCAAACGTTTATATGACAAAAAAAATTGATTTTAATAGCATAATTAATTTTCATAATAGTTTTAAACAAAAATTTATTTATTATAGTTTATTTTTATTAATAATAGTTAACAAAGTAGTACTTTCATATAAAATATGAGAGGTAAGCAAAATTTGGTGATTTAAACATATATAGAATTGAAATATATTGAACACATGAAATTATTTATCAGGAAAAACAATTTTTTTATTTATCCTCACTTAGAACGTTACAAATTTTCACGCTATGTAAACTATGATAAAGAAAATTGAAAAAACATTTATTTTATTTTTGTTGCAAAATATTTAAATTAAGCGACGTATATACATTCCTAATTTAGAATACAAGAATCAATTGTATATTATTTCCATAATGGTATTCAATGTGTCACTTGAGCTATAAAATAAATCAATATGACATTTATACGTATTGAATGAAATGAATAGAACAAATTTGTTTATAAATAGTTGACAAGAGTTTCATAATAATATGTACCAATAGTATCATACAATCTTATAGTTGAATAGTCTCACAACCTAATAGGGATAAATTACAAAAGCTTGTGATTATTTTTAATATGATTCCATATTAAGTAACTATAAAATGTTATTGGCTATTTGTATACAAATTTATCACTAGAATTTGATCATACATGAACAAATCAATAAAAATTATTTTTCCAAATTACCATAAAAACTAATTTTAAGATTTGTCTAACACATAAGGGCAATATTATTCAAAACTATTGCAACTAAATAACTTTTACATGTAAATTATCAAGCTTTTACTGTTGTTTAAAATTTATAATTCTGGGAATAGTTCAATATTTTTTAGAAATCTTACTCAATACAAGTAATTATCAGTTATGTGATTGCAAATTTAAGTAATATTATATCAGACTATATTATACATTATAGTGTAATTGACCAAAACGAGTAGTACCAATTATTCTTCAAATAGATTTAATTTATTATTTCTTCCACGACAAACCAGAAGATTCAATATGATAACCTTGCCTAACGAAGATGGCCGAGTGATAAATGAATTTAAAGAGAAAAAAATTGTCTTTTTTTCGCGTCTGTGGCGTTTGACATACATAAGTTTGCCGATCGTTTTAGAATTTGAACAATGAAATGAATGGAAAAAAAAATTTATAAGTAGCCAAACACCAAATAGCCGTCATTTATGCCGATGGAATTTATGCCCTTCGTTGGTGTTTTTTTTGTTGCACCTCAACTATAATCTCATTCCACAAATGGAATCTAACTGCAATACATTTTAGTGTCACTTATTCGTCATTAAAGTATGTATTTTTCTGATTTTTTTCGTCTATTACAGATTGCCTTTGCGGTGTTATGAACCTAACAAGTGAATAGCGAAACCTCTCACTAAAACCTGTGATTACATTTATCAGAAGACATCCTTGGAATATCACATTCCAAGAACGTGCATGATTTTTTATTTTTGAATGCATCTCGATATTATCATCTTTGTCACGTAATTATTTTTTTCATAATAGTTTATCAAGTATTTGCCGACAATTTTTAAAATAGTGTAATATATTTTTTTACGTTTGCCTATTAAATCAATTATTAGAGAAAATTTCAACATAGACACTAATTTGAATCATTGTAATACAATATTTAATTGAGTTACTTGTGCGATTATATTATACAAATATAAATTACATATATAAATTTTTACTAAATTATGAGTACTAATAATATATTAAAAATATTTTCTAAATATTTGTTTAAGGTATAATGGCGAAATTATAAATTTCATAGGTCGTTTTTATACTGATCATTTCACATTTGTAGCAATGAAATTATTTTAAAAATTGAAGTATAGTCAACTTTATTGAAGTCACCGTGAGTCATTTGTGAATGATTAACACACATTGTCTAGACAATTATTCAATGTCATCAGTTAAATGACCTATTCTCTAACCTATAGAGAATTTCAAATCTGGCAGATATCCATGTACAGTTCATATAAATATTGTTTCAATTGCAACTGGTTTGTTTTTATAATTTTGATTTATTACCTTTCAAAAAATAATTTCATTTTTGTATGTAATATAAAAAAACAAATAAATTTAAATCAGTATCGTAATTTATTAATTAATATTAAATTTTTTTAATTTAATTATTTTAAAAGTAATATATTTGCCATAAAAAATGTAGTGACATAATGAGTTCACTTTTACACAATTTCTTCTAGAATACTTTTTTTAAATGTACTTAAAATGTATGTATTTAAAATATTTAATTCATAAAAATAAAAAATATATATATTTGTTCCTGAATATAATTTATTACTGGATTGTTAACCGATAGAATCATTCTATTGAAATATTAATATATATTTTTTTAATATTGTATGACACACAGAAATTATGATCTCTTAAAGTAATTTATTTAATTTAGACCAAACATTACATATATTATTTTGATTACTCGTAAATTATAATTCGGTCTTGATATTTTCTATTAAAAACATAATCAAAATAAAGAAAACATAAACCTTTACTTAATGTGTATTGTTAATAACGGTTTATTGTTCCTAAACTTATATATACAGGTAATAGTTAGAAATCTCGTATATATGGAAGTAATGAACTTTTGATATATTTAAAAAATTGTTATAAAAATAAATAAAATTTGCTTTTTTTAAATTTACACTCCATTTTATCCACGTGGTTAAATGTTTTCCATTAAAAAAAAAAAAATTGACTTTAGATATACATTTATATTGTGCCCTATTTTAAAAAGCATTTGGTTAATTTATTAGGCCTTAAATTAATTTAAAAAAGCTACTCGAGGGATCGTAGCCCTTATTTGCATTATACCCTATTAGTACGTTTATATATAATTAATCATATATTTTAAATTAATTGTTAAATCATTACTACCATGATGACAATGATCACACATCAAAGGGTGTCATCGTTTAAAATAAAAATAAAAATATACTGCGTCATGTCCCCAAATGAAACTCTTTCAAATTGAAAAACAGCTGAATGTCGACAAAACAAATGTTTATTAAAATCACAAACAATTGATGACGTGCTTATTATAACTCAACAAATATTAATTTCTTTTACATAGAAATTACGTTTATTAATGATTTATAATTTTCTATGGTTATGATAAATTTTACTGAAATGTGTAATACAAAATATTAAAATAACTTCTCATATTAACCAAATATACATAAAGCTGTACTTAGGATTTCAAAATTAGTAACTATATTTGATTTACTTTGAAACATAATTAGGTATTCCACTGTACTTTTTAATTTTAAGCTAATTAAGTTAAGAGAAATGTCATCTAATACTGAAATAGTGATGGCGACAACATTAATTATTAAACACGCCCAGCTGTTCACTAAAGAACGAAACGAAAAAGTGATAGTATGCTTTTGAATTTGTTAGCAAAACTCGATTTAATTAAAATATTAATATATACTATTTAAATTAATAACATTGTCATATTTATTCAAATAAAAATCAAGTTATCCTATTGTAACATTTTAAAGTATGTCATTTTTGCACTATAATATAAACATAGTTATTGTTTATTGTAATATAATTATAATCATATTTTCTTAAAAAGGAATTAATGAGATATGTTAAACAATTTTTTTTTTTTAACTTAATAGCGAAATAAAAATTGTGTTTAGTAATTATAGTTAGTTATATTTCCACATTCAATTTGGGAAGTCTATATACCATGTGCAGAATAAGTTTATAACGTTTAGCTTCTGTTGTATATCGTAAATAATCCCATTTATCATTCATCTAAAAACAAAAATGTATTAATAGTAAAATAAAATTTATATTACTGAAATGTATATTTTATTTTATAATTATAGTTAGTAATGTCAATTACAAAATTTATTAACGCCATACAGATTACCTTATAAGTGTAAATTTAGTGTCATTAATTAATAATTATTTATTTTTTTACGTTTCGATTGCAAGAAATACGTGAATTTGATTTATAATATATCTTAACGTCTCCAATACCGATTTTATCTCTAAAGTCTCATAAATTTTTGTAAGGCGGATATTGATGAATCGTAAAGTTGTACCAAACAAGTATTAATTTAATTTTCATTTAAAAACTATATAACTGGCATAGGAAAATTTTCGTTTTAATGCATTCAGGCATTGAAAAACAATTCATTATAACAAAAATTATAAATAAAAATTATTATATGCAAATACATAAACATAAACAATGTATTATATTGCTATTGTATCTATATATATGGAATTGTATATTCATAATATTCCATATAGCGTAGATATATGTAGGTGACTTACTAATTATTTGATAAAATATTTTATTTTAAACATATTTTTAGACTAATTTCTTTAATGAAATACAAAAAAAAATCATACATATTGAGTAATATAATAATATATATCTTATGAATGTGTTAAAGCTTTTATAGATTGTGTTGTTGCTTGAAGTGCTTGAGGATATATATCTTATTTCAGACCTACTCAACTATTTTAAATGATAAACTTATTTGATGTGTTTCTTTTATTCATATGGATATTAGTTAATGATAACACCACTATTAAATAATATTTTTTCTCAGAGCTTTAACGCTTATCCTTATACATATTTTGCATGTTAATATCGCTTAAAAAACAGGTACTTAGATGAATTCGAGACATTAATTTAAATTGTCACATTACAAAACACTTTCAAAAATTCTTTATTTGAAAGCACGCAGCACCCCGTCGTGTTTTGACCATAAAAGGTTACTATCATATAGATTATACTACGTTATAATATTAAAATACATATAATTGGACATTATTAATAATTCGCTATTGAACAAACTTTAACACTGGCAACTGGTTTCATTTTTTATCAATGTATAATGGCGATTTGAACACAGCTATCATTTGAGAAAACTATATTGATAACATTGAAGTTATAAATAGTCATTATTTAAGTTTTTTTGTGTTGTCGGATTACATTAAACATGTGATCTAGTGATAAGACATATATATTTTTTTCTGTTATTCAGCAGTTCAACTTTCAAATAAAATGTATGTCTTAAATTCATAACAAATCATAATATATTGCAAAACAAATTAATTTTAGTTGTACATGTACAGCTGACATTAACTAGTTATTTGGTTCTGCATATGACTAAAATATTTTATGTTAATTTATACGATTTTAGGTTATAATAAATTCTTAAAAATATATAATATTTAGTAGATCATTTTTATTTAGTTTTCAACAATTACGAAATATTATGTGATCGCATAGTTATAAGTGAGTGGTGAGACAATCATAAATCATCCATTTGATCAGTAAAAAAATCTCACGATATAGCAATCTAAGAAAAAGTTACCTCGTTACGAAAATAATTGTTTGCAGTATGAATTTATTTCGGATATGAAATAATAATAAATCGTAAATGATTTATAAAATGTATTAAACAAATCTGGCTTTAAGCGGTGCCTGTAACTATATTCATGTATTATATTATTAGATAAAACCATGAATAAATAAATTTAAGTTTATTGAATTATTTTTCTGTAATATTTCGTGTATATTAATTTGCTTAGAGCCATTTATTTTTATTACTAGAAACTGGATTCAAAAACTTACGAGTATTAAAAGTTTTTAGAATACAAAACTAGTTGATTTATTTTGGTAATTCAAATTTCATATATACACTAGTAAAATTATTCACGTTAAATTAAATTGATCAAAAAATATTGTGATATTTAACTAAATTTAATTTAAATTTATATAAGGCGTAACAATAAATTATTTTTTCTAATTATGGACTAATTTGATTTTGTAATCGTTTATAATGTACCAATCTTTATAGTCATCACCTACGACATATATTTAAATTCACGAATGAGCCTTTAGGTTATATTTTTCAAAGATGTATTCATAATATTCACCACCTGCAGAATATTATTCAATTTTGACTTGTTACTACTGTTTTTACACCGAAAATAGTTTCAAATCAAGCCCATTGTGATTGCATAAGTAACTTGTGCAAGTCATAAAATATATCACACTTTGTTGTTCTTTTATACAAATAGGAAAGTGCTTAGCGCTTTAACATTTATATACGGTACAAATGACTATATGATGATAATATAAATCACTATTTATATTTAAGCCTGTATAAAAATTAACATATATATTCAATTATAATAAATAAATTGGCAAGTGTTTGTAATATTTGACTATTTACATGTTTGTTTTGAAAAAATTATTATTAAGTTAAAGACATAAATTTCTACACTAAAAGAAGTATGGCACTATGATTAACTAAACAACAAAAATTACACTAATGTTCGTGTGTGGGTTTTCAATGGATACTGTCTCGACACTAGTATTAGATAGAGCCAAAGCAAACATGTTAACAAATTAAACAACTACCGGACGTCATAAAGAAATGTCCTGAACAAATATAACAAACTCAATTTTTATTCTTTTTTTCTTGTCCTGTTTACAAGGGGTTCCCTTTGTGAGCCCGGTTCCGAATATTTGGTTTCAAAACAAATTGACGAAGAGCAAAAACAACAGAAAACGTTGCCAAGACAATAGCTGGAGTACGTACCTAAAGTACACATTCTATTCGAAACACCGCCATGCGAGAGATTGTTTTGTTTCACCCATACATTTTGACAGCAGCTGAATTATCATTTTTATGAAAATCATTCATGACCTAATTGATTGTAGGGAGCATTTTGTAGCAAAACTAACATGACTCGCTTAAGTACAAAACAAACTATTACATTTAACATTAAATAAAATATACGTATTTTATAGATAGAGATGAAATATTAAATTTAATAATTTATTCGTAAGCAAAATAAATTTTTAATTAAATATTTTTATCAGTAATTTTGAATAATTTCTCATTAAAATATTAGCAAAGTTGGTGCACCTAATCATTTATTCATCTTTTCGTCTTTGATTTGTAATTTAAAAAATATAGTTTAATATAAAAGACAACAAATAATACTATATTGATTATAACAATCAATATAAACTATAAC